TGAAACCCCCAATTGTCGAAATATTTTGTACAGTAGATTAGGAAATTTCTGTATATGAGATTTTAATTCATGGTGCAACTGAGAAAAGCAGACAACAAGTGGTTCTATGGTGTAGTTGGTTATCACGCAAGCTTAACATGCTTGAGGTCTCCAGTTCGATCCTGGATGGAATCACATGAGCCCGGCTAGCTCAATCGGTAGAGCGTGAGACTCTTAATCTCAAGGTTGTGGGTTCGACCCCCACGTCGGGCTTTTCTTTTTGTTTTTTTCCAGACTGTTTAATTTTATCCTTGCTTGATAGTGTATCTGTACCTGTGAATTGTTACTCTTTTCCATTCCTATGTCTGTACACTATCAATATGAGCAGTGAACATAACAGTGGCAGATCATCTGTATCCAATTTTGTTAGTTATCTCAGTAGCATTATAAATTTTAAATATGAAGATTTATACAATTACTTTAACTGTAGGCCTAGCAGAATATTCTCAAAAATATTGATTTTAAAATTAAAGCATCAACAGCTTCATATTAGCGTATACATCGTTGCCCAATCAATTGGAAACAGTAATATATGATGGTTCAAAGAATTTGAATTTCTGGTAAACTTCTAACATAAATTTGAGAGATTGATGCTGCAAAAGTTGTCTTCCAATAAGAAATAATATTGGAATTCTCGCAACAAGATTGTCTTATTCCTACACGATTGTCAACTAGGGTGGCCGTTGTCTCTTGGTACCAACGTAAAACCGTTGCGTATCGTATCGTACAATACGGAACGATACGATACGATACGATACGCAACGATTTTAGAATTTCGGATACGAAACGATACGAAAATGAAGTCTTAGGATACGTTACGATATGGAACGATAACATTTGGGAACGATACGATACGAAAACGAAGCCACAAGAAATGATACGAAGACGGGTTTTCCTGTCAGAGACAAAACGATACGATGAAGACGCGTTCACTCTACATTGTCAACCAGTACTAAATCTAACTAAATGTGAAAATGCTTTTTGCATTATTGATTGGAATGGTTGACAATAACCAATAGATGAATCCATTCACCATGTAAAATCAGAATTATCTACACAGATAATTACTTGATCGAATCTGTATTAATACATTTTCAAATATATATTTAAAGCAATTGTCCTTTCAAGTTTTTGTCAAATAGCTATCTTTCAATTCAAGTACATCAACCAATTGTGTGTAGAATTAAAAAAGGATGCAGTCTTAATCATCCACTTACTACAATTCAACAAAGAAAATCGAATAGCATTGAAAAACAAAAAGAAAGCCCGACGTGGGGGTCGAACCCACAACCTTGAGATTAAGA